TAATTGTTTACATCACGTGATAGCTGGCACGTGACAGATATTAACAGAACACAAATTGGCGACCTATTCGGCTAGCGACCTATTCGACCGATCCAGTTGGCAACCTATTCAGAATAAATTCAACAGTCGCCCAAACTCATCTATTTTTATCAACCAATAAAATCCAACGTAACGTCTATCAAATGAAAGTAGAATATATTATCATTTATCCATTCCTTTAGCTCAGAATAGAGATGTAATTTTGCATTATCTTACAAAATTCTGGACATCCAACTACATATATTCCGAAAGCTGATTAAATAAGCTTTCGAAATATTATTAGAAAAAGTTGGCACAATCATATTAAAGGGGTGCGCTCTCATTCTGAATAGGTTGCCAACGAACAGGTTGCCAGCTGGATCGGTCGAATAGGTCGCTAGCCGCATAGGTCGCCAATTTGTGTTCGGTTAATATCTGTCACGTGCCAGCTATCACGTGATGTAAACAATTAGCCATGTGGCTTAAATTGTGTCACAGTGTCCAGTTTAGAAACTTAATTTACACAAACGCGTTGTATATTATACCTTCAAAACACCGTAAGTTCTTGTTCTTAATATCCTAATAAAGATTACCTTTCATCAGATTTTCTGCCAAACGGCGAAACGATCACAAAATACAGCGCTAAACTTGCTCCAAACTTGTATGTTTACTATAGTGACCAGTGAGCGTGTGGAACCAACTACGTCACTTCCGGTTATAATAAAAATTAATTTCTCGCTTGCAAATTATTTTTTGCATATGTTATAGGAGGGATTATTTCTAAATATATATTTATTATTTATGGAAACCTTATTGAAAATCGTTGGTCTTCCCCTTTAAAATCTGTCTTTACATAATACATGTAGATTAGCAAAGTTTGGATTTAATAAGATCAGATTTTATTTTTGGTGACTTTAGTCCATTTAAACACCGTACTGCACAATATATTTCAGTATTTACACATCAAGTCTCATCCAAGGATTGCCAATTTTCTATAAATTTATGTGTTTCGTGCTTAATGGCCTATTGTTATTTTCAGGTACCGTAAAGGTATCAGAATCCAAATCCCTGATAAAATTGTATAAATTTCAATTATTTTTGTTAATAGATGCTTACAAAATACCTGTCGTTAACTTTTAAGAGCATTTTGGCGATGGTAATATGATACAAATGGCGAACTGTTTTCTCGCTCAAGAAATGTCACTATTTAACTCATTCTGACATTTTCGACCAGTGGTGATATTATAATTTGAAATAATGATATCCAATAGGCATGCTTGTATTTTTTACATGCCGTATATGAAGCCACTGTAAAATCAAATTTTAATCGCCACTTTCATATTTTTATTGCAAATTACAACTTTGGCGACCGACAGTGTGAGCGCTGGCTACCGAGATCTTTTGGAGATAAACCTATATTTCAAGTTTCGTCAAAATCGGATAAGAATTGTGACCTGTTGAGTGTCCACAAACAATTGTGGACGGATGGGGTTTAACGTCCACTTGACACAGACTAGGTCCTTTCGGGACTAACATATGGATTAATTTTATTTCAATAAAATAAAGGGGTCTTTAGCAGTGGAAGGAAACCGGATGACCTGGAGAAAACCCACGAAGTTGGACAGGCAATCCTACTCCTTGTCACATACAACCAGGGATTCGAAACCACACCAGTTAACTCAATGACAGGCCTCATGATACAGCTTGCACATGCTAACCATTCGGCCATCCAACCCCCCAAAGATTCTAGAAAGATTAATTAGCTAGGTGTACTCCCCAGATGAGAGTCCTAAAAAGGGGTAATTAGCCATGTGAACACCTTTATGGAAAATTCTAATTAGAGCAATTTTCTAAAGAGCAAGAATACCCTGATTCAAAGCTAAATTTTCTTCTTAGAATTTAAAAGTAATGGTTATTTTAGAATGCTATTTGACTTCCAGTGTAGTTATACCATTGATCGCACAATATAGCAGCATCACATCCTCCAAGAATACTTGGGGGGTGTCTAGTGCTCACTCTGGGTTTAATTTTTTTTCCGCTAAATTTTCATTTTAATTTATTCGCCATATATTTTCTCCGCCCAAATAAAGAACAAATATCTATTAGATTTTTTCAGTATTTTCTTTTTACATAAGAACATACAATATACATATGATATTACAATTTACAATATTCTACTCTGCTTTGCAGAAGCACATTTTTTGAAAGCTTTTTCAACATCTTGGTATAACCATGTTTTCCAATATTTAGTAACATTAAATTACACAGTGTATTTGTTTTTAATGAATATATGTATATCTAAAAATTTCCATTCATCCTTAAAAGATCTACCTTTTCAGTATACGCTTAAACAAAAATGGATAATCGAGACTATGTTTTTTTATTGTACCGACTTTAGTAACGATGATCAAGGCTAGGCCTAAAATTCATAAGCTAATATCACGGTTCAGAGTGGAGCAATTTGACTGAAATTTCAAGCATATTCGATTCACGTTATCTAATTTTAACTATTATAGTGAGAACTGCCAGTTCTTTATCTAATCTCCCATAATGCCTCTTTAAGATTTTTCTTTTTCGAAATTTTTCTATGTCGCAAACTTTTGAGGTAGCCTAATGCAGATCTATTGTAGAAGTTGATATCGCTTCAACATTCAAGGATGTAATAACATTAGATGGACGAGAGCTGATCATGTCAGTATCATCTGTAGACTTGGAGCATTTTGGTGGTGATATACTAAAATAATCTGACATTCTTCTATCGGACGTTGACGAAGGCTGTTCAATTTTTCGCTTACGACCCATGGCATGTGATTTGATAATAACTGACTTTCGACATCCCAAAGAATATATACGCAATTATAAACTGTAACAACAAACCTGGCTTCATTTATTAACGATACGGGCAACAGGAGTAAGAAAAAGATAAAACAGACGTCATAATTCAATAATCCCAAACAAATCAAACAAGTATTATTCACAGTGTCCGCCATTTTGAATATAGAAACCGTCAAAAAAGTCACCGATTCGTATTTAAAGACAAATAATTAAATCTTTTGTCTCTTAATTAGTATATTACTACTCTTACTGTAAATACTAATCAACAGTAATCCGAGATTGATCAAGAGACAAAAGATATCTCTATTATTGGCACCTAAATGATTGATAACTGACTCAGCCAAGCACATAATAGACTGTAACGTGTATATATGCACAGCGTGGAAATGAAAGCTTTGTGGCAAGAAAAATTTATCGCATGAAAAAGTTATCACCAAAAATTTCGCCAGATTGAATATTTTATCGCCAATGGCGATTGACAGCGTGAGCGCTGGGGGTGTCTATAGTCATCTAGATTCATTTATTTCATTAGCGTTAATGTCAAATCTGACAAAATAGCACATTACCAGTGGAAAGGATAGGAAATGAATGGTGTCTTACATATTATTATGCATGCATCATATCTGAACAACTAGGCAAGACCTTAGGCTCTACATTATGTGTAAGCAATTAAATTTTATCTTTTAAATATGATTGATGAAACACTATACATGTCAGAAAATATTCTACTAATACCGGTAATCAATTAGAAGTTGAAGATCAATGTATAATAGAAGCAGAATACAATTAAATTATACATGACAACTAATTCTAATCTAGTTGTATTGGAAAGTTAACCTGTACACAGACCTTCTTTTCAATCAATATTACATCCAATAAACGCCAGTAATAAGAATTTCATGTTCAGTTGTCAGGAGTTCCTTTTTTTTTTTTTTTAAAAACTCCAGAAAGAACATGCTATCAATATACATCTGTTGTGCCATTAATCATTAAAGATTTAATCATGACCATGTTTTACTGTGTGGTAATCAAGCAAATACCACTTAAGTTATTCAATAGATTAAGTCTTCCAGGAATTGCTTAATGCTATTAAATCTCTCTCTTGAGCATTGCTGCATATTGGTTCATTTTCCAGTTTTAAGTTAGCCTGTTTTAACAAAATTCCTACACAGGACGCATGTTAAAGTTACAGTATGTGCAAAAGAGCAAATGGTCAACTGCTTAGAGATCTGTAAAGTATCCAATATCTACTAACGAATTGTTACAGACCATAACATCAATTATAAAGACAGATTGCCAGGCAACGAAACATACACCCATGACAGCTAAATCCTCCAGGCAGTCAACAAGAGTTGTCGCACGTTTTTACTTTTTTCGGTAATGAAACATTTATAATACACTAAAATCTGATTAAGAGTCACTTATCAGAAAATCATTAGAATTTGTTTGGGTTTTTTTTTTGGGGGGGGGGGGGGTGGTGGTTTGGATAGCTGAATGGTTTGCGTGCGCATGCTGTATCATAAAGTCTGTCATTGAGTCGACTGGCGTGGTTTCGAATCCCCGGTTGTACGTGGCAAGGAGTAGGGTCGCCTGTCCAATCTCGTGGGTTTTCTCCCGGGCCTCCGGTTTCCTCCCAATGCTAAAGACCCCTACGCGCAAGCGAATTATGTAAATAAAATTAAACCATATGTTAGTCCCGAATTGACCTAGTTTGTGTCGAGTGGACGTTAAACCCCATTTCTCTCTCTCTCTGTTTGGTTTTTATAAAGTTCTGCCCCATGCTAACGTTTAGTATACGAAACATTTAATACCATGGATTTAGCTGTTCATATTATCAAAATTCATTGAAAATCAATATACTTGTTCGCCTCAAGACCTTAAACTCTGTGTATCAATCTGAAGTCAATCGGATGATAACTGGAGCCTCTAGAGCGTCCACAAGATTTTTCAAAGTGATCAAGGGCCATAACTCTGGCAGTAATTATCGGAAATTGCTGAAAATCAAGAGGCTTCTTCGTGTCATGACCGTAAACACTGTGTATAAATTTAAAGTCAATTGGATATTAACTTTAGCCTCTAGAGCGTCCGCAAGCATCAATGTGGGCGTATAAAAAGAGTATTAAATCATGGTTGTTCAAAATACTTACCTTACCAAAACTACCTTTACCTAAAACAGTAAGAAAATTGAAATCGCTAGCTCTAACAATATCTTGTTTTGACATATTTTGTGCGTTGTTCGGAGGTGGGATTTTTCTTTCTTGTAAATCTGTTTTCTGAAACATACAAAATAAGATATATAGAAAATCCATATTCACGAAAATATCCTCAAAATATCATAAAATATATCAAACCATTTTACTTGGAAGATAAATTAGCAAGGGCCATAGCTCGTTAAAAATTAAACGTTTTCACCAGATTCTACAAAGTGAAACAATAACCTTAAATCTGGAAGTCATTGACAGAAATTGTTTCAATTCGATACTTTGTTTCAATTTTTTTAAGTTTCACACAGATCGGATGTAAACTTTTGTCCTTAGAACGTTCACAAGATTCTGCATCTCTAGAAGGAATTAATGGAAATTGCTGAAAATCAATAAACTTCTTTAATTTACTTCTTTGAAATCCACACATTGGATGAATTTTGAGAACTCAAAAGATTCTATAAAGTAAAACAAGGGCAGTAGAGTAATTACCCAAAATTGTTGAACAATGCAGATACATTTCCTACAGATCAGATGATAACTGTCGTCAACGATGTACAGACAGGGTTGACAGCAAAGCTGCAATATACAGTGCATTCTGTCACATCCAACATCGTACGGGATCGTTACAATATGTCGGATTATGCAGAGTGTCGGAATACCAAGTTTTCTCAAAACCGGAAATATTGTAACTTCGAAAACCAGAAGTATTATTATAATGTAGCTTCGAACATAGAACTTCGAATCACCAGAATGTTATTCCCTTTCTGTACATTCAAAATTTTATTACATTAATTTTTTATTTCATTTAAAATGCGTAGGTATTTTGAATAGGTCAAGTCTGTCGTTAATTTATCTTCTTCGCCGTCTTCAGTTGATCGCACTTTTGTCTTTACTATCACGTGTTCATTGATAATGGGAGTACTCGATTGAACATTCCGGAATTGAATTCTCTCAATCCCAAAAATAGCGACAATCGAGTGAAAATGGGTACTTCGGGCTACAACGCATGCGTCGACTGGATATATAAATATCTCCTCCAACCAAGCAGCCGAAACCTGTTCGTCGTGTTTAATTATGTCACAATTCTACTCACACCACCTCCGTCGTCGGGACCGACAGAACTGTGACAGGACTGAATTCCGCGTCACTCGATTGCAATTCTGTCAATTCGGGACGTTCCGGACTGTGAATCGGGCATCCCCAGCTTGTCGTCACACGGTTCGAAGAGATCCGTAGGGTGACCAAACTTATAGGTTATTCAGGTTCAATCGGCATGCGCAACGAATGTTTCCAACAGGTGCTAGGAATATTTTTACGACTGTGAATTTTGGGGAAAATTCGTGGATATTCTTGAGTATTTGTCACAACTGTCGTACAAGAGATTAAAATTATCAAAGTAATCAACAAAGACCCACGGTAGTGAGTTTTAATCTCACAGATAATTGATTGGTGATTGCTTGTTAATCTTTTGTGGCTTCACACCCATCCAGTTTTAATATCACGGATAATTGATCGGTAAGTGTTTGCTTCACACCCACCGATTATACAGTGTAGATTCAATGGAAATCGTTTGACGGGACGGCTGATTGATGTCGTAATCCGGAACGTACAGAGGTCGAATTACCCAGAGATTGTTTGGCTGAAGTAATAAGGAAATAAATCGGGACATGAAAATGGTGTTGGATGTAACAGAGTGCCGGAGTGATCAGAGGTCGGATGTGACAGAGTGCACTGTATAACCCAATTTGATGTGGGCTAATAAAAAAATGAGTTTTACCTGCATTCTACTTTTGAGCTCTTGAATTGTTGGTGTAACTTCATCAGTAACAGGAATACCATAAAATTCACCTTCTTCATGGTTGAGCAATTTAAACCATCCATCTACTGGATTCTTCACTACTTCTGATACCCCAAATGATAAAGATCCCATAAAATCATTTCTTGACGTTCTATCCCAATCCCACAATTCAAATGATATGCGCTTAGAATGGTCTTCTGCAGATAATTCACTGAAACGAGAAAACAAAATGAGTGAATATGAATAGGTTTAAATCAAATTTTTGTAATGTCACGGTTTTATTCGAACCATAAAAACAGCTTGCAAATAGTCTTTTAATCTTTTATGGATAATGGCATCTTGTCCTATGATATAATATAATACTGCCCATTTAGAAGTTAAATTGAGTATGCAAAAGGCTTCAATTGGGCAATGATGATAATTAGTGGTACTGAATGCAATAGTTTCCCCTAACCTTTTAGGTCTTGATTTACTTCCTTAGAGCATATTTCAGTACATCTTTATTTGTTATTATCACTGTGTGGCTTTGACTTCTACTGATGGATTACCTGGCATGATTTTTCAGATGGGAGTTGAACATAACATCAATTTTATCTGTGGTACTTTTTGACAAAAATACAAATTTTTCAAAGGGCATAAATTCCATGTTATCCCAAAGAGCCCAGATAGCCATGCCTACATTATAAGTCATCCTTTGTATAGCTAATGTGGAACTTGAGGGTCACGACTAATGTGCTACTCATACAATTGAACAATAGCATTCCTTAAAGCTGCAATTTCATATTTTTAAGTTAAATTTTTCAAATTTATTAAAATAAAGCCTTAAAATAGATGGTATCTATAAACAGTCCTACCTTGTTAAAGAATAATCCTATTAACCCTATAATTCACTATTGCCAGTTAAGAAATTGGCAAAAATATCATTTTCAACTTTAAATTCAAACGTTTGAAGATAGCTATTCCATGGAGGGAATAGAAAAACAAGGGAGGTAATTGTGTTATTATTTCCGGGGTCAAAGGATTTTTAAGAGGGACAATAATACCTATAATCGTATAATAGTGAGTTGACAACCTATTGAGCAAAAGACATGGAAATAATTATGTTTTGACTTTCTTAGAAAATATGAAATTATCGCTTTAAACATTTACTAACCATATCAAGCATTTTAAGATTCAATTCCAAACAGTTCAATGTTTGGGCTGAAACTTTCAGGCCAGTTATTTGTACTATTTCTTCACAGTTCTGATGCTTAATTTGTATAATTAGTACACTTTTATCAACATATACTCTGTTGTATTAAAAGTTTATTTTTCATTTGCTAATTCTATAACAACCCGGAAAACATTTGTAAATACTGTAAAATGTACAGTAAATTCAAATTTACATTCTCGACATCCATAATTCTTTATTTTTGTTATGAATCATTAGAAATAAAAAGAATAAGTCAAATCCTTTAAAGCTGGTGAAAATTATATCAAAAGTAAGAAATGTTGAGAATATAATAAGGTAACTTTTTTCTTTTAAATTTCAGATATGTTGCATGTAGAATTTAGAAAAGCCATTTTATAAAGCTGTACATGTAATTAGCTTTTTATGGACGTAACAAAGGTCTATTTATAATGATCATGTAGGTGTTGGTAGACAAATATCCAATATAGATTACAGAAGATTTCTTTGTCCTTTCAATATAATTTCATATCACAATGAATTTATTTCAGATGTTGTGCTATCATATAGAATTACAAGCTGCTACTTAATGTCTTTAATACGCTAGATTGGAAAATGTCAAGATAAATTAAATATTTTTTTTTAAAAAAAACACAGCAGAAACATAATAATAACTTACAATGTAAAGGTTTCTTGCCAACATGGGTTTAAGCTAGCTTTAATAGTTTTTGTTTTTCGTTTCGATTTATTAGAGTCATCTGGCACTAATTTAATTTTACAATAAGGATCTGCTAATCCATTTGGGTCCATCGGACAAAGATTTTTACCCTCTCGCACTAAAAAAGACAAAACATTGCACTAGATTAATAATAATAAACACCCATGTACTTTTACAATACATATATGGATCAATCTGATTAAAATCAGATTTTTTTTCAACGTCTTCTTTTTGTTTTATAATTCTGTACATTTTATAGTCTATCTGAGTAAACTGAACTAATTTTTATCAAAGTGTCATGTACTTGATGGCATACTGTAACCAGCCAATGAAAACTCTACTATTCCAATAGTACAGACACATAGTCACTGAAGTCACATGCATAATGCAGATAACGCCGTTCTGAATTTATGTTAGATACAATGCAGTACAGGCAGAGCCTCGTCTAAGGATTTGGTCGTGCGCGGCAATGTCGGACAAAGCCCGACCCGCGAGCACTGCATGCGCGAGCCCTCGCAGGGGGTCTCCCCCTGAAAATTTTGAAAATGGACTCCCTTAGACTCGATTGCTGAGCACTTAAAAAATAGTTTCGGAGATTTGATACACTATTAGTTTTGGCATCTTGTTAAACCATGGATTGATTAATACCCTGTAAAATTGAGATCCAAACACTGCTGCAGCTGACCCGCAGACAGAAATATACCCATAAAACAATCAGAAAGATGATTTTGTAAACCTATGCACCATGATATATTATTGGCACATGGGAAAAACCTTGTCAGCGATTTTTAAAACGTATGTATGTTGCTGCCCAGTCTTCAACTTTTGGGCTCAGTAGGCGGCACAGTTTGGCCAGTGCGTGGCGGTGCTGCCGTCTCGTCACCATGTTAAACGAGGCTCTGAGTACAGAAATAAGAACCATAAAGTTGAAACAAATAAAGATAGAATATTAATTGGATTGAACACAAATAGAAAGAACTCCAAGAAACTTCTACTTTATTTATTCCATGGAAATGGATGCAATATATAACTAGAGCATTGCTAACGCTGCAATATATGTCCACATTCCTGCTTTCATTGATATGGTACTTTTTAAAATGAAGAGAATAAAATATGAAATAGCTGCAATGAATAATATGACAAGAGGCAAAGAAGACTAAATATTGTCAAAAAAGTGGGTGTGACACCTCCCCAGGAGGTCGGGGCATGCATCAAAATAAATAGTTTCTGTCTTTACGGTATAAGGAATAAATATGTAAAGTTCCAAGATGATTTATTAAGAATTGCAGCTTGTAGATGATAAATAAACAAATTGGGCTTGGCTCTGCCCCTGGGGGTTGGATTTGGAACAATATAAATATGTACCACCCTGCTATTGAAATGATTGATATGCTGAATTTGAACAAAATCTGTTAATTATAGCAACCTGTAGAGAATTTACAGACAAAAAAGTGGATGAGGTACCACACACCTGGGGTTCAGAACATGTACCAAAATAAATAGTTGCTATCCTTACAGGAATAAAATATGCCAAATTCCAAGATGATCGATTCTGAATTCCAGCCTGTAGACAACCAGCGGCTGCCAGACAGGATACGCCCACATTTTGCAAGAGATGGATAGAGAACAAGCTAAACAAAAAGCAATTTTCCGTACAATCAGTGGCCATAATACAGGAAGTTACGATCCAATATGCGCAAATATCAAAAGGAACCAAGATCTTTGGGTTATAAACTTAAATTTCAGGTTTCATCAAAATCAGAAGAAAATTGTCACCTCTGGAGGGTCCACAACCTTGATATTCCATATTTCTACGCTATATGAGTAGAAGGGCAGCCATTTTATAATTTAATACATTTATAAAGCGCACACGTTCCAGCTAGTATAGCTGCTCAGTGGCGCTGGTTTTACATCAAGATAAATACTTTAAAAATACATTTTAAATTTGAGATATATTAAATTTATAATCATTTTAAAAAACATATACGATTTAAACAATTATTTAAAAAACACACAAGGCTTAAAATTACTCAAAATTTAAAATATATATAAGTTTTAAAAGTTAATTAGCAAATACGAATAAAATCATTACATGAATAAAGCAATTTAAACACTATTTATAAGCATGATTAAAAAGTTCAGTTTTAAGGTTTTTCTTGAATACTGCATAGTTTGAGCTGGATTTGGTTTGTTGGGAAAGTTTGTTCCACAGCATCGGGGCAGAAAATGAGAAGGCTCTTTGTCCAAAAAGGGTAGTGACTTTTGGAATTTCCAAAAGATTTTGATCACTTGATCTTAAAGATCTTGATGGCCTGTAAGGTTGAATTAGGTCTTGAAGATATCTTGGAGCATTGTCACAGTTTAAACAGAAGTATGTCAATGATAATATTTTAAACTCAATACGGAATGGGATTGGAAGCCAATGTAAGACTTTGAGCACTGGTGTTATATATATACTCCTGTTTGTCCGGGACACTATTCGGGCAGCTTTATTTTGAATTAGCTGTAACGGTTGGATATATGAAGAAGGAAGGCCAGAAAGCAACGAATTACAGTAGTCTAATTTTGAGGTGATAAAGGCATTTACAAATAGTTTAGTTGTGTCATAATCAATGAAGGACCTAATTTTGCCAATATTATACAGGTGATAATTGCAGGATTTGCACATTGCAGTTATTTGTGCTTTCATTGACATCTTTGAGTCGAATATAACACCCAAGTTCTTTACAGTATCAACACATGCGATTGAACTATTACCAACACGTACTGCATTGGTTTTTAAATTGTGTTTATTAAAGCGGGTTGAAAATCTTATAACTTCGGTCTTGTCGTCATTCAGTTTTAATAGATTGGTTTTCATTCAGGCTTTAATATCTAAAATACATTGTTCTAGAATAGTAATTTTCACAGTTTCAGAATGTTCATTTACAGCAACATAGAGTTGGGTGTCATCGGCGTACAACTGGTAGTCTAATCCATGATCTCGAATGACATCACCAAGAGGAGCTGTGTAGGCTGTGAAAAGCAATTTGTCTCAGTTTTGGTCCGATTTTCACGAAATTCAAACCCAACCATCCTTAGGGTGTAAAGGTGATATATTCAAAGGTTTTTTTTAAATCGGATAATAATTGTGACCTTTAGAGGTTCCTCAAGGTAAAAACGCAATTTTTCGTACAATCAGGGGCCATAATTCAGAAGTTACGGTCAGATATGTGCGAATATCGAGATCTTTGGATTATAAACTTATATTTTAAGTTTCATCAAAATCAGAAGAAAATTGTGACCTCTAGAAAGTCCACAACCTTGATATATCATATTTTTACGCTATTTGAGTACGAGGGGTGGCCATTTTGTCTGTCAGTTTTGGTCCGATTTTTACGAATTTCGAACTTAACCATCCCCAGGGTGTAACGGTGATACATTCACATGTGTTTTTTTAAATAGCATAAAAATTATGACCGCTATAGGGTCCACAAGCCAAAAACGTGATTTTTCATACAATCAGGGGCCATAATTCAGGAAGTTACAGTCCGATATGCGCGAATATTGAAAGGAACCGAGATCTTTGGGTTATAAACTTACATTTCAAGTTTCATCACAATAGGATTAAAATTGTGACCTCTATAGGGTCCACAACCTTGATATACCATATTTTATGCTATTTGAGAACGAAGGGCGGAAATTTTGTCTGTCAGTTTTGGGCCGATTTTCACGAAATACGAACTTAGCCGTCCCTAGGGTGTAACGGTGATATAATAATACGTTTTTTTAAATCGGATAAAAATTATGACCTCTATAGGGTCCACATGCTAAAAACGTGATTTTTCGTACAATCAGGGGCCATAATTCAGGAAGTTATGGTCCGATATGCGCGAATATGGAAAGGAACCAAGATCTTTGAGTTATAAACTTACATTTCAAGTTTCAACAAAATCTGATAAAAATTGTGACCTCTTTAGGGTCCAAAACCTTGATATACCATATTTTTACGCTATTTGAGAACAAAGGGCGGCCATTTTGTCTGTCAATTTTGGGCTGATTTTCACGAAATTCAAACTCAGCCGTCCTTAGGGTGTAACGGTGATATAATAATACGATTATTTAAATCGGATAAAAATTATGACCTCTATAGGGTCCACAAGCTAAAAACGCGATTTTTCGTGCAATCAGGGGCCATAATTCAGGAAGTTACAGTCCAATATGCGCGAATATCGAAAGGAACTGAGATCTGTGGGTTATAAACTTACATTTCAAGTTTCAACAAAATCGGATAAAAATTGTGACCTCTATAAATTAAATGAAATGAAATGGAGTTTAACGTCCTACTCCTAACCTGGGCTAATGAAGACGGGGTGACCTCTATAGGGTCCACAACCTTGATATATCATATTTTTACGCTATTTGAGAACGAACGGCGACCATTTTGTCTGTCAGTTTTGGGCCGATTTTCACGAAATTCAAACTCAGTCGTCCTTTGGGTGTAAAGGTGATATACTAATACGTTTTTTTAAATCGGATAAAAATCAGGACCTCTATAGGGTCCACAAGCTAAAAACGCGATTTTTCATACAATCAGGGGCCATAATGCAGGAAGTTACGTTCCGATATGCGTGAATATCGAAAGGAACCGAGATCTTTGGGTTATAAGCATACATTTCAAGTTTAAACCAAATCGGATAAAAATTGTGACCTCTACAGTGTTCACAAGCTAAAAACTTGATTTTTCGTACAATCAGGGGGCATAATCCATGAAGTCCGATACATGCCAATATCGAAAGGAACCGAGATCTTAGGGTGATAAACCTATATTTCAAGTTTCGTTGAAATCGGATAAAAATTGTGACCTGTAGACTGTTCACAAACAATTGTAAACGGATGTCCGGACGGACGGACAGGGGCGACGACAATATACGTTCACATGAAAATGTGGGCGTATAAAATTGTGATTTTTCGTACAATCCGGGGCCAATATCCATGAAGTTACAGTCTGATACATGCCAATATCGAAAGAAGCCGAGATATTCAGGATATAGACCTATATTTTAAGTTTAGTCAAAATGGGATAAAAATTGTGTCCTCTAGAGGGACCACAATCAAAATGTGAACAGATGGACAGACAGGGGCGGCGACAATATAAGTCCACATGAAAATGTGGGCGTTAAAAAATGATAATAGATATTACAAACCCTCAACAATTAACTTATTTCCTTGTGGTTTTATTATCAGATATATTCTTCCTCTTCGCTCTGTGAAATCGATACCACATAATTTTGGTACATGACTTTCACATCTTTTGTGTACATTCATATCACAAGCTAAAAGAGATAATGAAAATTAATGTCTATTGTGTTATAGCAAATAATACAAGTTGTCTATGGTAAACCGGTACAATTTGTAACAGATATATATCCATCGTACCAGATTTTATAAAATTGGGTGAATTTTCAGTTTATGTACCGAGACGCAATGAGAGAGAGAGAGAGAGAGAGAGAGATATGGGGTTTAACGTCCACTCGACACAAACTAGGTCATTTCGGGACTAACATATGGTTCAATTTTATTTCAATAATTTGCTTGCGAGTAGGGGTCTTTAGCAGTGGGAGAAAACTGGAGGACCGGTAGAAACCCACAAGGTTGGACAGGCGCCCCTACTCCTTGTCACGTACAACCGGGGAATCGAAACCATGCGACTTGACTCAATGATAGACTTTATGATACAGCGCGCACGTAATAACCATTCAGCCCCCCCCCCCCCCCCCGGCCCCGAGACGCAATGAAAGTGCAGTACTTTTATAAATGGATGATTGTAAATCTAATTTGAGAGATACACTTTAATCTTGTATTTCTGAATTAACATCATATCACGACGATAAGAAGTGAGAATGATTTTTTTTGATCGCGTACGCATTAATTCAAGGGGGCATAAGTACCGGAGCCACAGGAAGCAAGCGTTCAGAGGTTTATATCCTCCATGCAACAACGATGTATGGCAGCCAGACATGGAAACACACATTACTGACTTTTAATGTTTACTTCTTGTGCCCACTGTTATTTTAAAGTAAAGATGCTATTTAACGTCAACACTTCCAGTAGTTCAATCAGTGGCAGGGCTAGAAATTCACGCGAATCTCCGAATCTGATTCGTGCAAGGATTTTCGCAAGAGCTTCATAAAATTTTTCCAAAAAAAAAGAAATCTTGGAGAATTGTCGAGTCCGACTATTGAATGTCGGTCAGTATCGGCTGTATTTTGTCGGCTTTAGCCAACTGACATTTAATCTAGCCGATTGGTAAAACAATGAATCCATCACTATGGTATCATAAATCAATCTCCTTTTGGCTAAATTACAACGGGTTAATTATTACTTGTTAATAAAAAAAAGTGAATCAACTTGCTTGTTGGCTACAACAACAGTCATACCTCATATGGTTCTTAATCCGAGCAATTGGCACATTTAACGGTGATTTTGACAATCCGGTAAAAAAAAAAAAAACACGTTTTTTTAAATCGGATAAAAATTATGACCTCTATAGGGTCCACAAGCTAAAAACGCAATTTTTGGTACAATCATGGGCCATAATTCAGGAAGTTACGGTCCGATATGCGCGAATATCGAAAGGAACCGAGATCTTTGGGTTATAAACTTACATTTCAAGTTTCAACAAAATCGGATAAAAATTGTGACCTCTGTAGTGTCCACAACCTTGATATACCATATTTTTACGCTATTTGATAACGAACGGCGGCCATTTTGTCAGTCAATTTTGGGCCGATTTTCACGAAATTCAAACTCAGCCGTCCTTAGGGTGTAACGGTGATATAATAATACGTTTTTTTAAATCGGATAAAAATTATGACCTCTATAGGGTCCACAAGCTAAAAACGCGATTTTTGGTACAATCAGGGGCCATAATTCGGGAAGTTACGGTCCGATATGCGCAAATATCGAAAGGAACCGAGATCGTTGGGTTATAAACTTACATTTCAAGTTTCAACAAAATCGGATAAAAATTGTGACCTCTATAGTGTCCACAACATTGATATACCATATTTTTATGCTATTTGAGAATGAACGGCGGCCATTTTGTCTGTCAATTTCGGGCCGATTTTCACGAAATTCGAACTCAGCCATCCTTAGGGTGTAACGGTGATATAATAGAACAGTTTTTTAAATCGGATAAAAATTATGACCTCTATAGGGTCCACAAGCTAAAAACACGATTTTTGGTACAATCAGGGGCCATAATTCAGGAAGTTACGGTCCGTTATGCGCGAATATCGAAAGGAACCGAGATCTTTGGATTATCAACTTAGATATCAATGTGGGCGTATAAAAATACTAAATTATAATATAAAACATAAGTACTATGTCAAAAAGTGTCCATTGATTTAGTCAAATATTTTTTTCCGGATCACGGACCGCCATGACACGTTCGAAGCTAAAAGATTATCAGCCTACCGGAACCCTCAATACAGTTGGCATTATTTATATTACTGCTTTATTAAAATTTAATTCAATATGAAAATCAATGATGCCTTTCGAAAATCAAAGCATCTGTATAAACATTTCGTCAATGAATACAAACAGAGTTAATTCTAACGGTATTGGTTGGGTGGAGAAGTGAACGAGAAGTCACGTGACGTAAACAAAGCTCTCTTTCGGCATTTGCTAACTTCGTGTAATGAAAACTCAGGAATTTATAACACTATTTGATTCTATTTATTTATCATAAAGCAATAAAATATTGTAAATGACATAATTAGGGAGACTTTTTTTCAATAATTATGTTAAATATCATCCAGAAAAATCAAAACCGCGATATCGCAGTATGTTCGGTTTTTCAATATTTTTCTGAAGATGGTATTTTTGACGGTTTTTAACCGAAATATCACCCAGCTCTATGGTGCCATATCAACTTATTTTGACTAAGGCATTTTCTGGATATTACTTTTGACACTATTTATGATTGTTCTATTTTTATCATTGTTCTTGTATTTTGATGTTTTAGATTAACACAATAAACACAATCTTGTTTTTTTAGACAGTATTATTAATTATGATTCGGAGGATTCGCGCAGATGCTATATATGAGAATCCTCTTAGATTCTCGCAAAAAATGACGATTTTCTAGCCCTGAGTGGCACATTTTCATTGCGTCTCAATCCCTGCATTGGCCGAGAAAGTTCATCCATATTTTCCGACACGATTCTCCCTTGTCAGTGATGCAGGAATGAGGGCCTGTCAAGTACAGCTGTCTAGTCGTTCTGATGGGACGAAAAACCGAGGTTCCATGTTGTCACAATCAAATATCATATTTTTTCTTTTACATCCGAATTTATAAATATTTATGTTCACATCCTATTTGTCTGAGTTTGATCCCCCAAACTCAATTTTAATTGTCTAAGCTGTATCCCCCAAACTCATCTTGATTGTCAACTGCATCTGATTCTGAGGCATGCAGCATGTGCACAATATGGCTATATAAGCAGATGTGGATGGCACATCAGAGTCAGTCAGTCAGTCAGTCTTTTAGTAAGGTTCGTTCAGGCCGAATCGGATCGATTATGTAGGAGGGGGCCAATTTAACCTTTCTTCTTTGAATACATAACTGTAGTGAATATCGGACCATGTTTAATTAAATCAGAGGTACATTGGAACTGGGCCACGTTTGATTACGCCCAGTAGGTGAAACTTTTATGTGTGTAGATTATTGTTGGGCAACGTTTGATATGGAGCGGCGTTGGGGCCAAGTTTAGCCGTAGCTGATATCGTGAACAGAACATTTGAGATGATCACAGAATAGGATCCACAGGCCTATAATTATCTCAACTGTGTTGTGGAGAACTGTGCGGTGTTTAAATGTTTTACGAATAACTTAAATCAGAATAGGTATTGCAGGCCTATGTTTAATGTTTTCGTTGGACGAATAATGTTTTTGTGAATTGATGGTTTGATTCCCACCGGAAGTGACCTATGGACATACTGAACTCTGAAAATTGATTGTTTTACTGATCTGATATAAATATATAAAGTATTAAATTATACTATTAATGCCATTTCGTTTTCTTTATGATTTTGAAGACGCAGCTGGGGGGTAGTTTGCACGAGTGGCAATTGGTCAGGTGCCAAATCGTGACAATTGGGGGCTTGTCCGGGATATTCAATTTTAATAAACTAATGACCCAAATGGTCTTCAAAACATAAAGTCAACTTGTCGCTTTAATAGGTTAAGTTTAAGTATTAACTTGTACTTGTGAGACAGACATTGGTGAATTTATATTTGGTAATCTGAACTTAGTTACACTACTATGGATGAACTAAAAGAATTAAAAGATTTCGGTGAAAGTTTAGGTTTCAAAGACGAGGAGCTTAGAAACTTTGTTCGCGAACAACAAGACAAACAGCGTGATGAGAGGAAACTACAACGTGAGATGCAGCAACGTGAAGCGGATTTACTACAACGCGAAAAGGATATAAAATTGAAACTAGAAGTTATGGAAAGGGAGCATAAACAAAATCTAGAAACTATGGAAACGGAATATAAACTTTACGGTGAGAGTTCTTTCAATAAACGTTCTGGTGATAATTTTATAAAGGGACCAAAATTGCCTCCATTTGATGAAGACCGAGACGATATTGATTCTTATTTACGAAGATTTGAACGGTATGTTACAGCACAAGGTTTAGACGCATCGCAGTGGGCAGTACATTTAAGTGCATTACTTAGAGGTAGAGCTTTAGGAGTTTACGCGAGACTACCACGTGACGACAGTCTTGATTACGAAGTTCTTAAAGGGGCACTGTTAAAACGGTTTGAGATGACTGAAGAAGGTTTTGTTAATAAATTTCACTATTCTACTCCTGAAGTCGGAGAAACTTTCGCACAATTTACAGTTCGATTATCGGATTATTTTACGCGATGGATTGAGCTTTCGGGTATCAATAAAGACTACAAGGGTTTGTTCGATTTAATTATTAGGAATCAATTCGTGTCTAAATGTGAACGCGAATTAAGTCTGTTTTTAAAAGAACGATCTCCCAAAACTATTTCCAACATGGCGGAATTAGCAGACCAATTTTGTGATGCGCGAGGAAGTAAAGCTAACAGGTTTCTTCGGAATAAACATAATGAACATTATGGGCATGCGCGTCCGCCAAATTATAGCGAATCTGTTAGGGAAGGACCCCAACAGCAGCCACAACAGCCAACCCCGCATAATTCCTATCGCCAACACAATCCAGCATCGTCAGCCAGAGGTAATAACTTGGTATGTTACATATGCAGAAGACCGGGTCATAGATCACATCAGTGCAA